TGTTATTAGGGCTGTGAGTGACATATTTAGTTTATAAAATCTGAAAATGATTTGAGGAAATTGAATCAGAAAACAACATATTGTTGGCATGTAGCTGCATTTTGATGTTGAGTTGCTGATAGGAGATTCTGTTATTTGCATATCTTAGCAAATTTGTGCTGCACCTAGATTAAGGATGTCCATGAATTATCAATCTTTTAATCAAAATTCCAGTTGAGGACTGCACAAAAGCATCCTGATACATGGACCTACTAATATGTTTTGAGGAATGGCATTTTTTATTGGTGGGTGATAAATTGCTCCTCACTAAATTCTTCAGTTTTAAGCTTCCCTTTGATATATAGGGTTTCATTTAATATCTATCTTAGCTTTCTCTCAATAGAGAACTTCGAGCACATACTTTTAAATTTTGAATGATGTCTGTAACAAATGGTAGTGAGAAGTTCCTTATACTCGGGTTTAGTTTTTCTCTAAGAGATGTGAGTTTTCAGGCCTTTCATGTTTCGGTAGACAATTACCTTTAATAGAAAGCTTTGCGATGTTAATGATTGTAAAGGAAAATTGTTGGAAATCATGGGTGTTTTATGGTGACATTCCTTTTTGTGCACAAATTGTTGTACGTTGCAATTTTGAAATCCAAAACAATTACTATGTATATGGCTTAAAGTTCATGATACACGACGACTAAGGAAATTCAAAAAAGTTACTACCTCCGGGCTCCGTCCCCCTAATACTGCGACAAAAGGAAGTAGTGTGGTTTTTAAGAAATGTAGAATTATGTGATTGATAATGAGTTGATAAAGTGAGAATAAAATAAGAATGAATTAAAGCTACACAAATGTTACCAAATATGGTATGAGACAATAATATAGGGGACATCCAAAAATGAAAAAATGGGACAACTATAGAGGACGAATGAAGTATAATTTATAAAAAGACATTGTTCACTATGCAGTATTGCAGTCTTCGGCGAGCCTATGGCGAGAAGCAACAACGCATCCCCCTTGAGAAACAACAAATTCCACTTCTTCATGCTTACTCTTATGCCTCAGACACCTTTGATTATTTCGATGAATCTTTCTTTTCAGATGATTTCTTGGGACATGCAACTGAAAGCGATTGATGCCCTCCTTTATCAAACCAGGAAGATATTGGCAATTCCAAAATCAACAGAACGATTTGCCGCAAAGCAAAGTTCGTCACCACCGAAAATTGTCTGCCAACAGACAACCTGAACACACAACTTAAGCTTTACATGAAATCTCAGCAAAAGAAAAGGCGACACAACTTTAGTTTTTTATATTCTCTTTTACTCTCTGTATTTTTTATTTTATTTCTATTCTTACACTGTACCTTTTATTTTTATGAATAAAATCATTTTAAAAAAAAGTCTTCAATAATTAATAGTGTTTATTAAAATTCTAATAATATTTATTTATAATTTCTCTAATTTGTGTGATAAATAATATTATAATTTTTGAACACGTCTATAATATTTGCGTATTACATCCCGTGCGTTGCACGGGTGAAATACTAGTTTTCAAAATTTTGGATGTTCTCCTGAACACTCTTAACAATATGATTCTCTATATTTAATTAGAATTGTTAATAAGTTAGAACCTCTGCTTCAAAAAAAAAGGTAGAACTTCAAAACATAATCTGAAAATGCCAATTTAATGATTGAATTTAATAATTATTTAATTACAATTCTCAATTGAAATATACTTTACTTTATTAGTACTACTAGAGTAGATGTACATAGTATGATCTAGGAATAATAAGACATGGTGCTTAATCCAGATTGAGAATCCGACAACACTTAACCCAGAATCCCAGATGATGAATATCGTATAATTAACAATTTATCAATATCAATATCATTATGTTCTCACATCAATTAAAAAATTAGAAATTATGGGTAAATATGAAAATAATGTCAATTTTATATATATGGTCGGACTTAATATCAATTTAATTACAAATTGATTCAATTTACAATGCTCTACTTTATTATTTTATCATTAATAATCATTTATAAATAATACATTTATTTATAGATAATACATTTCAAAACTACATTTATGGAAAGTATTGTCATAGGTCAAAACACCATAATAACAATAGAGCTATTCCTAATTTGAATACATAAATTATTACAATTGTGAATATATAGAGCCCTTATATGTGTTTGAACAGAACTCAATCACAAATTCTTAAAGCTAAATAAGTAGTTAGTGTCTTGCAAATTCTCTCGGTGATATTGATAAGATATATCACTATAGATTTCTCTTTAGCTTTTCTGCTTTTGCTCATACCAGCATGCTAAAATCAACAACATTAGTAGTTTTTTGTAGAATTACTCTATACTTCAATAATATTTCCTCTTTCGAGATTTGGTTTGTTTTATTAATTATTCATATTGTTATGCAACTCAAGCCTTTTCATAATCAAAAAGTTCGTGTTTCTGTGTTTGTATTATTGATGTTGTTATGCAATTGAAGTCCTAGCTATTCAAAGTCACGCCCAAATTGAAATCCTAACTATCACAAATAAAATATTTTATTTTATCTTTGATTTTGTTTTACTTCTTTTTTCAAAAATATTACTCAAGCAAAATTTATTTATAAAAACATGACTAATCTTATTATGAATATAATGTCATAGTAATTGAAGTGTAAAAATTGGAAATAATGACAAAACTAAGACTTGGAGCTTTGCATTAGACAAAAGTAAGACTATTTTCGTATCGGACAAAAAAGAGACTGAAATTTACTAAAGGGTCTAAAATACCCTTCAAATTATACTACCGTCCAATTCCTCTTCTAGCTTCCATCTGCGTATCGAGTGACCTTCCCAGCATCTGAAACTTCGCACTTCGCAGCACCTCCATTGCTGAGAGAACATTCGGCGTCCATCGATCTCCAACGCCACAAGTACCTCCATCGCAGCCTTCTTCGCTCTATCTATCTTCTTCGTGCAACAGCAGACAGCATGCGACGGGAGAGCTATGGCGAGGGACGAAGTCTTCTTCGCTCTATCTTCTTCTTCTTCTCCGATTTCGAATTGTTATCTTCGAGGCTAGGGTTAATCCAGATTTGGATTTCGAATCATCTTCTTCGATCTATATCTTCTTCTCTGATTTCGAATCTGTCCTTCGTGGCTAGGGACCTAGGGTTTATATAGCGGCGGCGCCATTCATTTCAGATCTGCGGCAGTGGCTGGTAGTTACAGGTGGGTGTCGATGGTGCAGGGGGCGGGTAGACGTCGGTGGGTCATTGACGGGCTGGTGGGGTTTGTGGGTTAGTACGGGTCTGACGGGGATGGGGTGAACCAGGGGGCGGTTGCCAGGAGGATTCGGTGGTCGGGGTGGAGGTGGTGTACGTGGCGGCGGCGATGTCCTGCTCATGGTGGTGTCACCATATAACTGGCAGCTTTCCATTGCCACTAGGAGCTGGTAACTGCGGGGTGCAACAGCGGCAGGTGGTAGTGGACGGGACAGGCAGCGCCGGTATCAGGTGGCCGGGCGGTGCACTAGGTCTCTCTCACCGTAAGGAAGTCACTGCAACTGACGGTGGGGGCGGCAGTGGCAGGGGGTTTGGGTTAGAGATGGGCCGGGATGCTGGCGGCCGGAGTGAGTGCACCGGCGGGTCACCAACGTTGGTGGCCAGCGGTGGTGGCTGGCAGTGGTGTAAACGTAATTAATTGGACTGGGTAATTGTAGTGATTGGATTGGATAATTATAACCCGTAACATGTGGTAATTGTAACTGGTCAGATTAGAGAATTGTTTATGCTTGGATCGAGAAACTATAACTGATCGGGTCAGATAACTGTAATTTGGTGAGGTCGGAATACTGTAATTGGTCGGGTTATGTAACGGTAACTGGTCAGATTAGATGATTGTAACTGGTCGGATCAAGTAACTGTAACTGGTCTGGTTATGTAACAATAACTGGTCGGTTAGATAATTGTAACTGGTCGGGTCAAGTAACTGTAACTGGTCTGGTTAGATAATTGTAACTGGTCGGGTTAGGTATCTTTAATTGGTCTGATTATGTAACTGTAACTGGTCAGGTTACGTAACTATAACTGGTCAATTTAGATTATTGTAACTGGTCGGGTTAGGAATCTGTAATTGGTCTGACTATGTAACTGTAACTGGTCGGTTCAGGTAATTGTAACTGATCGGGTAACTGTAATTGGTCGGGTCGGATAGCTGTAACTGGTTGGGTCATGTAATTGTAAGTCTGTAATTGGTCAAGTGAGTACCTGTAACTGATCGGATAGAAATTTGTAATTGGTTGAAAGTGTAACGGTAACTGGTTGGACGTGTGATTATAATCCACCCCATAAATGTAAATGTAAATGGAGTGATATACATAGAAGTCACACTTTTTTGTTCTTCTTGCCTGGGGCATTTTTAGAAGAATGATACGCATAGTACATACGTATTACGGCACTAAGAGTGGAGTATTTAGTTATTGCATAGTGTATTAATTAGGGAGGGGTATATTTGATATTTTGATTTTATATGTTCCTAAATGCTCATACGGTGCTCTCTTTTTTGGAAGAGTTAGAAAGAGGTCACATATTTGTCCAAACCTTTGTAATTAGTAATATTGGTGACCTAACCCCTTAAAATTGAACATATGTTACTATGATTAAAGTTAGAATAAATTTGTCCTACGAGATTTAGGTCAATTTCACATTTAGTCCACATCTTTCACTTTGTCCACTTTTGATACATGACTATTGTGTTTTCGTCAATATATGGTCCTTCTGGCATTGTCTCCGATGGTTTAAATCGCCAGAAAAGGACCACAAACGGTTAAAAAAATAGTGAGGAAAAGATTAAAATGAATGTTAAAATGTCAAATAACTTAAGCTTGAAACGGAGTGAGTATTTCAAATGGAGTAGTTATCAACTTTTACCACGTCAATAGTTAGTTGCTTTTAACTACTCCGTATACATTACTGAAGGTTATGTGTAACGCTCAAATCTGATCAGATAGGTAATAAGTAACTATTTTAGGTAAATAATAAAAATTGAACAATGTGTAGCAACAACAACATAAAACAAGAGTAGCTAACATTCAGCCCAAACCATGATTCTAATGCAAGAAATCTTTAATGTCAACCATGCGTGCTCAATTTGATGATTTCTGCAGGTTTGATACAAGATTCGAGGCACCAAAGGCGGCAGAGCCACCGACAAGAGAGATAAAAGCTACCAGGACCTGGAAACCAATCTGCCAAGGGTAATCCTCAGGCACAAAATACACACAAACAGGACCTAAGACTATCAATCCTATGCTAAGGCTGAAGAGACCTGAAGGTGTTCCTGGATCAGTGGCTGCTGATAGAACTCCCAGCTCTTCTGCTTTAGATAGCAGGCCAAGTCTCTCAATTGTTGACAGTGATAATCCCAACCTCTCGGCTGCCGATAATACCCCTGCTTTCTCTGCCTTGGTTAGTAGCCTCAGCTGCTCCACCCTTGTCAGTAGTTTCACTGCTCTTGAGTTCCTCACCTTTTGTACTTTCTGTCCTAGTATTGCGTTTTAACACGATAAGAACTCGTCTGTTAAATGTTTTTTTGACTTATTAGACATATCAATTAGATATTCTTTTTACCAAATACTCCGTATGTAGTATTAGTTTAAAATAACAAAAGAACATAAGTTGTCTTTTTGAGTGAAAGTGACACTATCATTTTGAGATAAAAGTCTCACATGTGTGATACCAATCAAAAGGAAGGCGCCCTTATGGTACAGGAGATGTGTGATACACCAAAAAAGTCTCACATGTGTTATACTTCTGTGAATTGTGAAGTGTTCAAACTAACTTTCATTTCATTTTCATTTTCATTTACCCCAGTGCCACAAAGGCTCCCACCTGCGGTGGGGTAAGAAGGGGTCGGATGTACGCAGTCTTACCCCTGTACTAAAGCACAGAGAGACTGTTTCCGGATGACCCATAGTGAAGTGTTCAAACTAACTGACTGAGAAAAATAGTCAATAGGTCCAGCTATTTTCAATTTTCTTGTTAGACACTCATACCTAATAAAAACACATAATACATAAAAAAAACTGGTTATACATAAAAACATTAAATGCGCGAATACTAAACAATGGTTTTACCATTTAGGGTAATATGATTCTCATTTCCCCTCTTCAATACATTTAAAAACAAGTTATGTACAATAAGACTAATCACTAAACTCCTTTCTCTGTTTCTCATTGACAAAATGTTTTGTTATCCTCCCAAACTCCTCACATACGTGTACCTTGTTTGTCCACTCAGAAACTAAAGGCTATCAATGATATGCTTTTCAGGGGATGGCATACAAATTGATTGTTGCCAATAGTTAAGTGCATCCATGTTATTTTACCAGAGTTGCTTTACTTTCTTTGTCAATTCATTTGCAAATCCGGTTCTCTAAATAATAAGTTTGTCTCTATTTAAAACACACAACTGAAGTACACCCCTACCCTCCAAAGAAGCAACTGGGTCTACAAATTTATAAGTTACATGATTAAATTCCTCCAATCTATAAAAATTGATTCAAATAGGACTAGACCATAGACAAAATGCCTAAATGGGACTACATATGTTTTATTCCCAAAATAGGACACGGTTGGTCCTATTAAAAGTATAAACTTCCCCATTTAGGAGTAAGAGGGTCCTATTCTAGGAAAAAAACAATAATAGTCCTATTTATGCATTTTGTCTAAGTTTTAGTCCTTACGGGATTAAAATTTGACAAAAGCATAAAGTATAAATTGGACGAACTAGCGGGTGAATAATGTTAAAAATGTACTCCCTCCGGTTTTGAACAACTTCCCACTTTCCTTTTCGGGAAATCCCGAAATTAGCTTCACACTTCTTCTTATCTCCTTATTTGGCAAATTATCTACACCAAAACAGTGCAAAACAGTGTCAAACGACGTCCAAATAGTGCCAACGGTGCATTCCACGATAAAGTCAAACTGTGAACCTCTTTGAGAACGGGAGATAAAAGAGTAAAAGATAGAAGAAGTTAAAAATTTTACAAGTAATGAATGAGATATTTACCAAAAATGAATACGAACTTAAGGGTGCTACTCTACGGTATTTATCCTAGGATTGACCACACGGAAAAACCTAAGAAGCGATTCGGATGAAAGGCTAAGAAACACCATGCGCTTGAAAAACTCTTGTGCAATACCCAGTCATTACGTTTGAGGATGTGATTTCGGTAAACTGACCTTTTTGGTGCCATTAGCAATCGAAGCTGGAAGGATTGGCTTCTGGGTAGCCATGGATTGAATCAGAAGTGGCGAATTTGATGTAGAAAAGCAACTTTTTGGCATCGCCATGGCGTCCATCATCTATCGCTCCACTATTTGGTTGGTTCTGCCCTTGGCTTTAATAATTTTAAGCTAGCACATGGCTGGTAATCAGGTACTCCTATTCCCAGTTCGTATAAGGTGCAACCACTTGTAAAATATCAGGTACTCCTATTACAAGTAAAAAATTTACTCGTAAAAAATGGTAATAATTTTTTTATTTTTCATCCGATTTTTATAACATTTATATCAAAAAAATTAATTTTTGATCTTTCAAATGAGACCAATATTGCTTATGTAATTTTAACATATTATCGAACTATTATATTAGCCATTATTAAATTATAAGGAAAAACGAACGTGTATAGATATGTAACTTTACATGCGATATAGATATTGGTTAATACTTCTAATACATGTTCGATAAATTGCCTCATTATTGGTAAAAAAGGGACCCACTTTTCAAATACAGCTTCAACTAGCGGAACTTTCCAAATACTACGTTGGTGTACCGTCCTCATCGTGGGATGGTCTCACGATAAAATTTGCGTGTAAAAATATGCAGGGCCGTCTCCAGCAGTTTTGATGCCCCAGACAAAAATGACTAATGAGATCAAATAGTACTTAAACTTAACATCATAATTTGCCTCCTCATCATCTACAACACATTTACTCTTATCATGATTTCATTTTTTATCTCAAGTTGAACACCAATACTTTCATTCTCATCTTTATAATTTGCCTCGAGATTTTAATTTATTCTTTAAAGGCCCTGATTCTTGGTTCCGTTACTACAAAATAACAATTCAGCACTAATTACTAGGTATATTAGAAATTAGTAAATACGTAGTACTCCCTCCGTCCCTATATAAAAGTATCCATTCGTTTTCCACATATTTTAAAAAAGTGAGTTTGGTTGGTACTGTTTGGCACTGTTTTGCACTGTTTTGCACTGTTTTGTTTGCCAAAAAAGGAAAGAGAACTTTTATTTAGGGACGGCCCGAAAAGAAAATAAATGCTTTTATTTAGGGACAGGGGGAGTATAAGATATGGAAATACTGTTTAAAAAGAACAAGTTCCAGACTAAATTTGACAAATGAATAACTGCAAGAAAATTTAAAAATATAACACAAAGTTTCAAGTTTAATGCATTTAATAAATAATACGGAGTAATTAATATTCAATGTAGAAAAAGTCATTTACAAATTTCAGTTTCTAATATAGTTAGTACTCCGTAAGATCTATACGGATGGCAGAAGAATTGAAGAAATCAAAGTTTGAAATATAACAAATTAATGAAATTATATATACAACGCTGAAATCTCAAATTCGAAGGCAGTCGTTACCTGGTTTGCAAATTAATAGCTATAAAATACACAGAGATCAAATATTTATCAGACCAGATCAGACCAAATCACATCAGACCAGCAAATTTGAGTAAAAAAAAACATCATAACTATGGTAATAGAGTAGACTATTCGTAAATTATGAACTTGTGGTTGAAGTGGTTGTATTGGCTGATTCTGCTGATTTATGAAAAAATTATATTTAAAATGTATTTTACTACGGAGTAATAAAATAAAGAAAAAATTATATAAAAAAAATAGCTAAAATGTGTTTGCAAATTCATCCAATACAGCCGATACAACCAGAAAAGTAACTTCAACCTTACTTTTTTTATTGTTATTACATAATTTAGCGCGCAAACTCAAAAATTATGTCTTGATAAAAAGTCAGCTAATAAACCTGATAAGCGATGAAAAACAGAACTACCGAATGGCTCTTAATTTCCTATTTCCAATAATCCTATTGGGATTTGGGCCATGCAGCCAAGCTCCTCTCACCCATGTCCTTGTCAAAGTATCTTTATTTAATTTGGTCCTAACTTCCGCTGGCCACCAAGCAATTGCAAGGAGTAATACATTTATATATTACGTAATATTAATATATGTATTATTAATATATGTATTATTAATATATGTATTATTAATATATGTATATATAATAATACTCCATCCGGTTCTCAAAGAGGTTCACACTTTGATTTCACACAAATTAAGAAAATAACTTTACGTTTGGCACTATTTGGACACTGTTTGGCACTGTTTGGCATTGTTTGGCACTATTTTGCACTGTTTTGGTGTAGATAATTTGTCAAATAAGGAAATAAGAAGAAGTGTGAAGTTAATTTCGGGACTTCCCGAATAGGAAAGTGGGAAGTTGTTTGAGAACCGGAGGCAGTAGCTTTATTTTTAAAAAATGGTGCCCCCTTGGGAGTGGTGCCCTAGACCAATGCCTAGGTGCCTACCCCCATGACCGAGTCTGAAAATATGTAACTTTACGTGTAAAAATATGTAACTCACGTTCAGTCAGGCCAAATACAATTCATGTGTATAAATATGTAACTCTATGTGTAAAAATATGAAACTTTATGTGTAAAAATATGTGACTCGCGTTCAGATAGGTCAAATGCAACTTGTGTGTATAAATATGTAACTCACGTGTATAAATATGTAACTTTACATGTAAAAATATGTAACTTTACGTGTAAAAATATGTTACTCGCGTTCAGGCAAGCCAAATGCAACTCGTGTGTATAAATATGTAACTTTACGTGTAAAAATATGTAACTCACATGTATCAATACATAATACAATAAATTTTTTATATACACAATTTTAAGATAAATTGTTATTTACACAATTATTTTTCTGTATTAAATGTAGTTCGATTTTCCTTATAATCCAATAATCATTAATATAATAGTTCGATAATTTGTTAAAATTACATAAGCAATATTGGTCTCATTTGATAGATCATGAAAAATAAAAAAATCTAATATAAAATTTATAAAAATCGGATATGAAATAAAAAGTTATTACAATTTTAACAACAAAAAAACAAAAAATAATGGGACCCAGTGTTATTTTTGGTACGGAGCTCGACAAAAATAACGACCAGTATACGGTGCACACCGTACACCGAAGGCATAATTTGCCCCGTATTCCACAGTATATTCTTACCATGGTAATTCACGTGACAAAGCATCATTGGTTAAGCCTTAAGCTTGTCTCTCTAGTGTACACTATTTTTGTACTCGTAATTAATAGGGGTGGACTCGGGTCGGGCCAACCGGCCCGGAACCGGACCGGCCCGCTACTGTGCGGGCCCGGCCCGGACCGGTGAACCGGTTCCGGGTCCGGTTCGGGCCAACCGGCCCAGTGGGATGGCGGTTCGGGCTCGGGCCCTTCAAAAGGTGAACCGGCCCGGCCGGTTCGGGCCCGGGCCGGGCCAATTTTTTTTTTTTGTTTTTTGAAATAGCAAATTAATAGCAAATCTAATGGCAAAGGTTAGATGTTCAGTTCTTCTCTCTCTTTTCTTTTGGATTGTTTTCATTCTTTGACCAAATCGGACTAAACTTAAATAGATATATCAGATCATACTTAAATAAATTAGATTAGATTAGATTAGATTTGGACAGTTATGAAATGCATAGAGATCAGAATTTACCAAAGCAGACCAGATCGGTTAGATCATACCAGATCAGACTTAAATAAACCAAATCAAATTTAACCAGATCATACCAGACTAGCAAATTTCAGTTCAAAACAAAATATATTTAGAAAGTTAGAGGTTACGAATTCAAGATCTTTTTTAGCTTTTTGCTTTTTTCTTTTATATCAATAATTTTTAATTTACATCTAAAATTTATGCATGTGAATTTCAAAATAAGTCAAATGATATGACAATTTTGATTAAAATCTATCTCCCACTTTCACTAGTAATTCTTCATATTTTTAAATTGATTCCTAAATATTAAATGAGTGTTCTAATGCTCAACGAATATGTTTGATCACATAATATCAATGCTCAATAGTAAAGAAAACGATATTCAATGAAAATGTTTTGATGCTCAATAAATTTTGATACTTTTATATTCAATTGCATAATTCTATTGCTGAATAGAGAAGACTTGATAGTTGATAAAATTGTCTTGATTTCAACTAGCAAAGCTTGCAATTTTCATGTCAATGAATATTTCAAAAGTAAAATATTAAATTAGATTCTCATATGAGTTAGCGGTCCAGCTCAACAGTCTCTTCCCAAGGACCCCTCCCCCTGGGGTAAAAAAATTAGATTCACATATTGAAATTCAAAGAAAATTAGGAATTGATTGTAGATATAATTTAAGAAATTTTATAAAAGAAAAAATAATAAAAAGAAAATGAATTTCAAGTATGAAGCAAAGATCATGATTCATGATACTCAATATTAGATTTCTAATACTCAACAGAATAGGCTTAATGTTTAATACAAGTACAACCGGAAGTCATGAATTTCAACCAAAATTACAAAAATGTCACCGGGTGGACAAATCATTCTCCGTATTATACAACCGGTAATACGATAAAGGTACTCATAAGTAACGGTCAAAATTAATAGAATTGGACTCGAAAAATTAAACTGTAAACTGAATTTGGGATAGATGGAGTATATTAGACTCAAGATAGACTTCTGTCTACATTAATTATACGTAGTACGTAGTATAATGGAGGGATCTTCACTCAAATGGATCACCCGCTGGTTGAGTCGCTGCACCATGTCCAGAAAAGTCGGGTTCATTGGGTTTAAAAAGCTTGGGCATCCGCAAACCGGGATCAGTAGGATCCACCACTCTCACCTTCTGGCCAGCAGCAGCGCCTTTCCTTGTGTTAGCTGCAAATTTTGAAGCCAAAATTGTAGCACCCAGATGTTGAGCATTGTTGTCTTCAAAAATACTATCGCCATCATCATCACCATCCCTGTCCATATATTTTGTACAGGCCAAGCTCTCTTGTCTAGCCAACTCCTCTGCCAGCCTCTTCCTCTTGTAACGCCTCCATGCAGCTTGGATGAAACAAGCTCCCCACGTCCTCCACTGGTGTGAGTAACATCGGAAAGCATGCTGCAGCTTTTTGCTGTGCAGGCGCTTGAATTGGTTTGCCACGAACTTCAGGTCTTCAGCTCGGAGAGCGAATGCCTCCACTTCTGTAAGCGATTTCACTGTTCGTGTTGATGATGGAAGGTTGGCATTCATATTTGGCATTAGTGCCCACGTCAGCAGCTCTTCGCCGCAAAAGTCGCCGGGTTTAAGAGTTATGGAGTCCAAGAATCCAGAGCGTCCTCCATTTGTGGTGGAACTCTCCAGTTGCCCTCTGATAATGAAAAGCATCTCATTCACTGGATCGCCTTCCCGGACGATGAATGTGTGCTTCGTGTTTAACGATGAAACTAGGCGCTCACATATAGCATCTAAAAGTTGGTCATCCATTTGTGCGAAAAAAGGGACCTATATATGATGTACAGAATAAAAACATTTATAGTGTAATGATCGAGCAATTACGTACCCAATATACAATCAAACCATGTCTAGATATAAATAATTGTGGGAGAAAATGACTTTGTATCCCATGTTTTGGACTATATTAGACTTTGCATATCATTTTCATAAACCATCATGTATGCACTTTATGAGTCTAAAAATTGTAATCCAGTAAAGAAATATAGGTACAATGCTAATGTCGCACAAAAAATTGGGTAAAACTACTAGTCTTCTTAGTGATAGTTGATAAAAATTAAAATCAGACCATTTTCAATGGACCCTTTTCAAGTAGTATGGGCAGTCACACTGCAGTACTAGCTTACTTGGTTGCAAGATTAGTGAACAAGAGCACATTTATGGGGATTATTTGTTCTCTGACACACTCTATCGTAGCATCGAACCCTTTAATTGTAATACTTTGGATATTGATTATTATTAATATACTCCGTATAAATTTGCTTTCTTCAAAAGTAACTCTTAATATTAATTAACTTCTACTACGTATTATAAATTTTCTCTATAGAGCAAAAGAAGATATATAATCTAACATATACCTATGTGTGTGGCTATGTGTGTTATGTAAAGGTTGGGGTGTGAAATAATAATATATGTAGTATTAAAGAACCAGAAAATTAGCTAAAAGACGGGCCTGATTGTTCAAGAAACTGACGATTAAGCAAATGTAGACTATGGATGGTGAGACTTGCGTACCCGACGAACAAGAGCTAGACAAAGATGCCTTTGTATTTCGCGGCGTATATCCAAGGGTAATGAACGTAATATCTCTTCTTCTTCCACTCCTCTAGTGGCAAGCCATTTATATTGAACAAATCGGCGAACACGTTCCTGCAGTTCTTGGGGTAATTGACGGTGTCTCATCCACTCCTCTGTATCTCTGCGTTTCACCCTCCATTCTTCCAGTCTTGTTGACATTGATTGCAGATAAGACTTCAATCAAATTGAAACTTATATCAGGAGTATTTCAAACTCAAAGTATCATTACCATATTATTATTAAAGGCTTCCTTCAATTCATACTACGGAGTATTTGGCAGACAATTAATTAGTACTTGTCAATTCATTTACTCCATATAATTTATACATTTACATACATGATTCATATACGAGTCTCATCAATTAAAGCTAATTATCACATTTCAAACATGCATTTTCAAGCTTGAATTGAAATTTACACACAATTTTTACCGCATGGATATTGATATGCTAATAATATTTAAATTGAACTCTGCCATTGGCCATTTCTCAAACTGGTGATCAACATTAAAGGAGAAAAATAAGAAATGGTTTCATTTCATGTGCATATCACATTCAAAAGATAGAGTTTGATGACATTTCAAGAAAGCAAGATCATTCTTTATTGGGAATAATTGGACTCTCTTGTTCGAGCTTCACTCGTGAGAGTGCATGGTTGTCGACTAAGAGGAGATCGAACGGTACATCAAATGAAGTCATGGGTGTGGATATGTGATTGTTTTTATGTTTTACATGTACCATCAATGGAAAAGGATAAACGGAAGCTACGGAAGCTAATGCAATGCGTAAGACTAAAAGATGTCTTATTGTCTTTGTATAAGATAAACAATACCTGCATATTTCCAATCAGAAGTGCGAAAATAACTAAGCCCATAAGACAGATAATAGAACTAAATAGTGTCTCAACCGTGTATGTTGTGGTCTCCATTCCTTGTCCATACGAACTGCAAACTAGAATTTTATAATTCCATTAGTGTATACCTTAATCAAAACTTTAGAAATATATCATTAGCATTATCAACATTCTTGGGTCTCATTCGAAGACAACATTATTAAAAACTACTCCGTATTACTATATCCCAATATAAAAGTAACAATTCTCTACTCACGGAGTATATTTTTATTGTATTGAAATTTAAACTTTGCGATTTAACAGAACTATGAATGCAATTTGTCATTATGGAAACTTTAATTTTTATTTCTCACTAGAATGCTATTAAGAACTTTAATTTGCTTGATCAAATCTCCAAATTCACAAGTTACTTTGATTTTGAAAGGGATGAAATAATAGGGAACGAGTAGTCGACAAAAAAAAGTCTAATGGAACACAATGATAATAATAAATAAATCATGTGAGCATACTGTAAAAAAAGAGAGAAGAAGGTTAGGTGCGGTAAATATACGGACCTGAGGCTCCTCAAACCCCACCAGAGGCAATAAAAGTAGCGCTCAAAGAAGGTGGCAGAGGAAACTTGGTCGTTGTATGCAGCCGCGAACATCCCGAACTGGAAGCCGTTGGGTGTGGTTCGGGCATTGCAATTCTTGAACACCTGAGTGGACACTGCCCACTCCGCCCGCTTCTCCATCGCCGCGGCATAAGAACAGTCCAGAAATAAAGGGTTGCATTTCTCCTTCTCCTTTCTGCACTCCATCTTCCAGCATGACAACTCTCGCTCTATCGCCATCAGATACCATACAGCTCCTAAAACCTTTTGTTTCATATGACATTCCTATAAGCCAAGGCCGGGTGATGAAAACAGGCTAGCTAAGAGATTATACGTAGTACATCGTACGTACTTACATGACTAGCCAGCATATAGAGAAGAAGATTATATGCAGCACCAGACCAAGCAGTCTTTGCCACAACCCCTGTGTTCTTGATGATCTTCCAGTTCAACGGGAAAATGACTAACAGCTTGGGAACATATTGTAGCATAATCACCAGAGTAATGGCATGATTCGCATGAGCAGCCGTAGGGCTTTTCTTCAGCGGCATTATAAACCAAATAATAATCTACACTCATGCATACATACATACATGTACGTTAGGTACGTACTAATTATGTACTACGGAGTATAAATGAAAGGTGATTATACTGAAAAATTGAATGGAATCGATAAAGAAAATGGTGATGAAAAGTAAACATTTCGCAAAATGTATGAAGTATGAACAATACCTTAATTGCTTGTATTGTTACAGTTTGGTACTTTAACTCTTAAATGAAATAAATTAGTGTCATAACTACACGTGAATGTTTCAACAGGTGATACTATTCAAACATTCAACCAAAAAATCATACGTTGAGTTACATGCGTTGAGTCTATTGTACGTTACTTTTATCCATGTCATCACTGCACGGTGGACCCCTGATAGAACTTCACAATTCCAGTATTAATCACAAAGATTGAGAACAAAAGAGAAAGAAAACTGAAATATCATTCAATGGAGGTAAACCGTACAGAATGTCCCAAAGAAGGAGATAAAACTCCAACTTCCCAGTCCCAGACAAAATGTCTAAAAACAGCCTGCCTTCCCTCTGCAGTCTTATTCTATTTATAACCTTCAACATACCGAAGGTAGTTATTAGTTACTAACAGCTTTTAACTAATAACTAACTAGTCTACTTTGACTTTCTAGAATAGACTTGCCCATAGAATCTATTCTTATTATTTAGACTAGCCGGATCCTTATCAACCCCACACATGCAAACTGGTTCTCATGTAGGATTTTTGACCGAAAATTTGAATGACATTGCCGATTGAAACATTTATGTATAGTTATGGTACTGATATGTTTCATTTAAGAGTAAGGTATCATGATGCAACAATACCAATGGTACGATTAAGGTGTCATTTATGCATTGCACCCGTAAACATTACTCCCTCCATCCCAAAATGATTTGTAAAGTCAACTTTTTCTTGGCCAACATAATTTCATCTAATTTACTCATTTAGCATTTCAAAATTTGTCATATTCTAATATGGATTTTGTGACTATAAAGCTTTTAGTGTAGTTAAACTTTAATTATATAACAATCCATATGAATGATTTATGTTTATTATCAATAACCTTAAAACTCTCAAATTGCAATTCAATTCGGGACAAGGAAGCATTAAGTAGTACATACTCTGTATAATCTACCGCTGGATGATCACTCACTTGAGGGAGAGGAAGAGTGGCGGCGAGATCAATGGCGAAGTCGGTTTTAAGGTACCTGATGGCGATGAGGCGAGGGTGAAGCACAAGCTCGCCTTTGCCGAAGACGCGGGAGGTGCGAGAGACGAAGGCGGTGCGGAACTTCATGAGGATCTGGAGAACGGAGAAGAAGTCGACGATAACGCGGAAGAAGATGAGGGTGAAGCCGAGGGGGATGTCAACGTACATGCAGGAAGCGGCGGTCATGACCTGAGGGAGGAGGAGAAAGAGGGGGTCAATGAAGAGGCCCACCAGGGAGGTGACGAGGAAGATGTGGTTCCATTTCAGGCACAACTCGCCGTTGGGGTCCAGAATCTGCTCCCACCACGGCGCATCCCTCTCGTACACCAGCGACCACGCCTTCGACGCGAACCCCTCCACCACCGAATTTCTCCACCGCTCCACCTGCTCCACCACCGCCTTCATCGTCATCCTCATATAAGCTAGATTCATTCCGCCGTTTAATCCGTGGAACGAACTTAATTAACGGCAAAATTAAATAAATAATTACCATCGAGAAGAATCACTCAAAACTATGAAATTTGAATTGACAAGGTAGAGAAGGATACGGGGAACCAGACAATTCACCCGCTCCATTGATTATTAGCTCGCGCGCGCACCCGGCCACGTATGTTATAAGGAATTTTTCAAAAAAAAAGGGCATGTTTAAGGCATATATCTGAGTAGTTCACACGTGCGATGCACACACATACAAATTCCTTACAAACTACTCACAATATGCACCAAAAAGTTTTTTTATTTATTTCAATTCAAGGATAACAACTAAATAGTACTACTTAGAAACAATTACTAATAACAAAAATTCAACATGTTTTATGTTGTACTTTCAGTATGAGATCATGATTGGTCTATGTTTCAACATGTTTTATGTTCTACTCTCGGTATTACCATTACATAATCGCATTGAATGATCTATGTTTTGCATAAGCGCCACATGGGTACCTACTTTCAGTATGAACTCGTGATTGGCTAGACCTGAAAGACGAATTTTATTCAAAAATTCTAAAGTATGCTAATACGCAAGTAAATAAACATTAAAATCTGACTTGCATATAGTGCCTAAACGCAACTAAATTTACATTTGGGATTTATTAAGAGAAATCATTTTGGTGCTTAAACTCTTTTTTCTTAAAAGTAGCTAAAATCTTCAAGCACATTCAAATATTGTGGATAAGCACTCTCAACAATAATTGCAATTGGATCTCCTAAGTTGGTAGAGGAAGGTTTGTAGTAATTTCAATTGAAACCTATATTTATCTACAATATCTATTTATTTTAATCTCATAAAATTAAATTAATTAATCATTCCAGGCCAACTCAAAATTATACACTCCAATATAGTAGTATATAAGGCTAACCACAACCTTCACCATCAATAAATCAAATTTCCATCCAGTTTATAAATATTCACCCAGTCAATTCAATTTTTTATGCAATTCAGCATTGTCAGTATATTCACGGAATATTTTTTTTAATTATAGTCTTACTTGTATGGTTTATAGATTACTTTTGCCATTTTTGTCATTAACTATGATTTAAAAGGTCAAATTCACATTTAAATACATTTGGAGTTTAATCGTTTTCTTGTTACTCCAGACTTAACTATGATTAATATACTTTCTCCATTATTAATTAAGTACAACGGTCAATTTTTCACAATTGCCGTTGCACAACTTTGACCATTAATATATACAATTCTCCATTAGTATAACAACATCCAAGCCTTAGTCCCAAAAAATATTGGAGTCGGCTAACATGAATCGATACATGATATCACCACCAAAAGGAAAAGAAAGAAAATAAAGATAAAAAAAATAAGCTATTATAAAAAGATACTACCTTTGTCCCGTTAGAAGGTTCCCATAGCAAAACGGCACGATTATTTAGACAATTCTCTATCAGTAAATAAATTAAATAATCAGATTTTGAAAATTTACGGTGAGACAAATTTGATATTTATATATTTTAACAAATAGTAATACATTAATAAATAAATCACAGTCAAAGTAGAATATGTGAATAGTATAAAATTCAACGTGTTGCACTTATTCAAGAATGAAGGTAGTATATAAAGACAACATTGTTCATCATGATTGGAAAAAAAATCATACAATGGTACTTGAATCTATATAAATTCAGCAACAATTGAAATAAAAAAAAATAATCATGCAGTCGATCAGACCAAAAATCTCATCGCCTCCCCATGCAGTATTGTATCAATTATATTTCTAATATATTCACTATGTGTTTTAAGACTGTGTAGATCAAGTTGATGAATATCAAGACTTTTACTTCTCTATAACATGGTCGGCGAGATTCTATACCAAATTACCAATTACATAGATTTATCTAAGTCAATCTCATAATTTCTCCTCAAAGCTTAAATAAAAATAATATTTTGCTAAAGAAAAATATTTTATTTCAAAGGTTTTTAGCATATTTGATTCATTAAATAGTACTCCCTTCGTCCCATAGAAAAGTTCTCACTTCCATTTAGAAAATAATTAACAATCTTAAATGATAATTTAATCATTAAATATTAAAAATTATACATTTATAACATTACAATTATCAAGACTAACCTTATTATATTGGATACCTATTAAAGTTATTTCTCAAAATATACTTGAACTACCTTATTAATTATTGTTTAAATAATCATGTTGTTTTGCCATGGAAACCTTTCAACCGAACGGAGGTAGTAGAAACAATCACACAAATATTACTACTTTAAACCCCACTAACAAAAATGTCACTTTTGTCCCTACCTTACTCCCAGGATGCTATATGTGTTCTGTATTAATAGTCACTTTTTTGTAACTCCAAATAATAAAACAGATCAAATCGAAATCAATAAAAATTGAACAAAACCGAACTCAAGAAATTCAATAAAACCTTCTTAGATTTCTAAAAAATAAAAATACAAATCGAAACAAATCGAAAAATAGTATGATTTTTGTTTGCTAATAATTCTTCCAACCCGTTTCAAATAGATCTGAACCGAAAATGTACTTTAAACAAAGTACATTTTCATATCATTTTTTGTATTATAAACAATTTTCAATAACAATATATAAATACAAATGGTCCCACATAAAAAATGAATATCGTCGTGCCGCGACGTTAACTAAGGCGCTTCTTGGGAGGCAACCCAGGTTTTATTTTTATTTTTTCATTATTTCGAGTGTTTAAAGTTCATTTTTTAATTTTTTTTTTTGAGAGATCAGTGAGAGAGGGAACTAATCACAGGTTTTGGAAAAAAAAGATGCAGGTTTTGAAGCATATGGGGGCATACCTGATCGAGTACCACCTTATACTCGGTCGGGTATGGCTAAAAGAAGGGGAACCGAGCATTAGTCGATCGAAGGAGTAATAATTTTTAGGAGGAGGAGGAGGAGGTAATATTTGTAAATTGAACTTAAAACTCATATTTTATCCTTGGTGGTCTTTGTGCTTTTATCTTGTAAAATTGTTGAAACTTTGGAAGACTTAAACACTTGTGAACATTTGACTTTACTCGAGGACGAGTAAAGAAACTAAGTGTGGGGGAGTTGATACGTTTGTAATTTCTATATGTATGTTTGTGTTTTTAATTAGTTTGGATTGATTTTTACTTTGGAAATTACACACTTTTGGTGTAATAGTTTAGTTTGTTAAATTCTTGTAAATGTTTGGATTAGGTTTATTCTGAGCTCAAACATGTCTTGATCAACTCAAAGGACAGTTGGTGAACCCCAAAAGTGGAAGGAATGTGCAAAAGTCAAAAGAAAGAAGATCTTGATTTTTTTTGTCTATACCCGGTCGAGTATGACCTATACTCGATCGGGTATCTTGTTGAAACTTCAAATCGGATCAGATCCGAAGACAAAGGATCATGCAGAGAAGATTCGGACCATGATCGAGTGTCCATACCCGATCGGGTACACCGACACACCCGATCGGGTATCTCTTCAAATACAAACCTGAACTCGGTCGAGTATGCCCCGGATCTGAAGTTATAAGCATACTCGACCGGGTACAAAGGTATACTCGATCGGGTATGCTTATGAAATTTTCTCTTTAATCGATCGAGTATACCTCGAATTTGAGGTATTACACATACCCGATCGGGTACGTTGTATATACCCGATCGGGTACCCGAGCTGCATCTCAAAAGCCTATAAATACACTCCCTTTCTTTCACAATTAGGCTTCCAATTCCTTTATACATCTAAGCTCAGTCTAGAATAGTTCTTTCCTTATATTTTTCATCATGTTTAGTCTCCAAATGAAGAGCTAAACTCTTCCATCTTGGTTTTGCTACTTTGAAGCTTAATGAATTTGTAAGTTGTGAGTTATTTTCTTTAACCTTCTTCCTTGAATATCAATTATTCCTTTAAAATACTATTTCTATATCAAAGTTGGGGAGTGTTACTAAGATGACAATTAGTTAACATCTTGACATTGGTTATAGTAATAGTTATTTCTTCCTCTATGTTAATATTGGGGGTGTTACTAAGATGACAATTAGTTAACATTTTGATATTAACTATAGTAGGATTCATATTCTTTAATATTCTTCCTTGAGTATTAATTAACTCTTATTCATATTTCATGTTAATATTTTGAACATTACTTAAAGTATCAACTAGTTTTGTTTCTTATATTAATTATTACTAGAATCAATCGGTTAATACGTTTGTTATTAATCCGGTCCTTTCAACAGTAGTAAACTTGGATTATTAATGCATGCATCTCATTGTTAATATGCCAAGGGGAATTAATTATATTGATTAAACCAATAAACCGCTTGTGTTGAGGTTATCAATCTCAATCGTTTTCATCTTAAGTTTATTGTTACCATCAAGTTAATATACGGCGCTTGTTCTATATTGACTCGATAGTAAGTTTTATTAATGAACACATCTCTTTATTAATAACTACCTTCGATGAACTGGATATACTCCTCGATTGAGTATTCGAGAGGAAGATAGTTAAAGATATAACCGGGATCGACAAACATTTCATTAAGTGGATAAAAGCAAAACCAAGTCCTCTTCTCTATTAATTAAATCACATAAGTCGTTCATCTTGGTGTTAATTAAATTAAATCAAATCAAACTCAAACCCCCCTTTTGTTACGCATCATTTAAAAGAAAAATATTCCTTTCCCCGTGGATACGAACCTTACTTCGTTACACTACGTATATTCATTGTATTGTATATTTATTTTGAGTGCACCTCACGACAAGTGCACATTGGATATAGCTAAAGAAAGACCAAACTGCAGTGATCCAATAAGAAAAAAAAGTGAATGGAAAGAAAGCTTGCCTGATTGATTATGAGCACATTGGAGCATCTATTTATACAATTTCTGTTGTAGAAACAATTTAGTTTCGGCATTGAGCCTACCAATAAATTAAATTCTCATTTTCTCAAGACACAAATTCCAGAGGCGCATTGAATGCCTGATTGTGTGTTAGGAAGTGGACTTCCAATCTGTGTAATTAATTATTAATATCTTAAAAGGCATCCAATAGCATTTAGTTACAGCAATCGAGAAGCGTGTCATGCATAGAATGTAATCAATTGGTTTTGGCGGGAATATTGTACAAAATCAATTTACTATTATATTATAATAATAGATAAACAGTGTTATAAGGAAATGTTTTACTTTAGATGATTTAAAATACAATTTAATATTAAAATATCTAAAATAATCCCATACGTGTAGATGTACACATTCCCATATACACATGCATAATATAATAGACAATCTTTCATGTCCGGTCGATTAAATGTTTCGACTTTTTCTTGTAGAATTTTTTGATGAAATTTTTTAAACATGTTCTTTATCAAGTTTAGTTTACTCATATCAAATTGAAGCTAAAAATCAATCTGGAAGGCACAGTGTTTGCTCATATTAAATGTTTACTCATATCAAGATTACTTTACTCATATTAAATGTTTTTTTGAAAAATATTACGTTGTTTATATATATTAAATGCACGGTGTTCTTAAATATTTTATTTGACTGCCTACCGATCGAATATTTAGCTGAAATTCGGTATGGATAAATTAGACTTGATGAAGAACATACTCAAAATATTTTATCAAAAAAATCCACCAGGAAGGATCTGAAATACCCTCGGCCGGACGGCGGTTCCCGCCAGGCCGGGTGGACAGGAATATAATATAATATAATATAATATAATATAATATAATATAATATAATATAATATAATATAATATAATATAATATAATATAATATAATATAATATAATATAATATAATATAATATAATATAATATAATATAATATAATATAATATAATATAATATAATATAAGATAAGATAACATAACATAACATAACATAACATAACATAACATAACATAACATAACATAACATAACATAACATAACATAACATAACATAACATAACATAACATAACATAACATAATATAATATAATATAATATAATATAATATAATATAATATAATATAATATAATATAATATAATATAATATAATATAATATAATATAATATAATATAATATAATATAATATAATGTGTAGTATCGTGTAATGTAATGTAATATAACTAGGGGTGTAAATGAGTCGTTCCCGAGATGCTCGTGGATTGCTGGAAAAAACTTGACTCGAGTTCGTCATATTCAATCTTGACTCGAGTTCGGTTTGTCTCGAATATTTAACAAACTCAATCCAAACCTATTTAGTTTAGGTCTGTCGCTCCCTCCTTTGTATACATATACATATTTATATATAAATATTATATATAAATATTATATATATATACATTATATATATATATATATATATATATATATATATATATATATATATATATATATATATATATCATTACTCCAGTGCCGCAAAGGCTCCCACGCCTTCGCTAGGATAAGGGGGTCGGATGTACGCAGTCTTATCCTTGTACTAAAGCACGGAGAGTCTGTTTCCAGATGACACATAGTGAAAATCGCGTCCAAAATTGCATGAACTGACTGCTGCTTCATAACAAAGAAGCGCAAACAGTTTAGTAAACCATTTTGCTTTATTCCATCATATTCCTAAGTCAAAAAAATAGCGAGTCTTTGGCTCTATTGCAAATGATGGAAAAGTATATACGTAGTGTGTGTGTGTTTCGGATACGTATTCTGATTTAGGACTAGTCTATTTTAAATACTCATTATGGTGTATATTAAGTAATAATTATAAATATATAATACGTAGTAGTATTTTTTATTATTATAATTATAACCATAATTTGTAATAATTGTAATATGTACCTCTTTTGTCCCTCAATATTTTGTCATGTTTGACCAGCACGGGAAATAATAAAGTAAAATCTGTGTGGTTGAGATATGTGCAGAGGAGAGAGAAATAACATGAACCACAAATTCATTGATTAAAAATGAAAGATTGCAAAGTTATAAGAGATGGAGGGAGTAAAATTTATTAATAGTAGAATAAGGAAACCAAGCATTCCAGCTCAGCTGGTTGTGAGGTTACCGTGTCTAGTGGGAGGTCTCGAGTTCGAAACCCGCTAGGCACACAAGAGTTTGAAACTCAATGGAGTGAGTTTTAACCCTGATTATTTCAGCCCCCCCCCCAGGCCCCCTCCCCCAGACCCACGTGGAGTAAAAAAATAGTAGAATAAGGAATACAAATGTCAGTGAAGGAGAGAGGAACTAAAGAATGAGAATGATCAAGTACAAAAACTATCTTATTTATTTGTGAGTATGTATAAATGAATTATTAATAACTTGGATAATGGAAATTTAATTTTTACTTCGAATTTGAGCATGAGTTCGAGCAACTTATTTGAGCTCAAACCTTTAAAAATAATTAGCAAAACGTGACTCGAACTCGAACCGAACTCGAGTGAGCTCGGTTCGAGTTTGAGCTCGAATTATTTAACTCGTCCAAGCTCGAACTCGAGCTCGTGAAATCTTATCACACTCTGACTCGGGCATACCCATGCTCGGGCTCGACCCAGCTCGTTTACACCCCTAAATATAACATAACATAAGTACATAACATAATTGGGTCCTTGATAATAACTATGATGTTAAAGGTGTAATGTTTTTAATATTTGATAATTGGAAAATCGCATTTCTAGTCGCTGAAATAGTCATAATATTGAAATGTTAAACTCGTGTTTCTCAGTTTGTAAATGTCACCCCTCAATTGTTCAAATTGATGTAAATGTGATCCTTTGATGGTGAAATGTACAATATGGGCGACGAGTACATTTCACCCTTCAAAGGACTGCATTTATAAAAATTTGATCAATTCAGGGGTGACATTTACAATCTCATAAATACAAGTTTGACATTTAAATATGGTGACTATTTCAGGGATTAAACGTGTGATTTTCTCTTTTGATAATTTAATTATCATTTAAGAGTTCCAATAATTCCTTAAAATGAAAAGTTCAAAAGGGGGAAGTGAAAACTTTTACGTGAGACAAGGGAGTAGTGTTAAGTTTATCCATTGGATTGTACTTTTATTTTTGTTGGTGAATGTAACATTTTAAACACTTGCTTTTGTAGTTTTATGTCATTCCGATTTAACTTTTATGCCCACCCCTAAACATGATATATCAACGCCTTAAGCTCAAGTTTTTTAAAAATCAGAGATCAAGTTATAAGCCTCTCCCTAGAGATAGGCTTGGACTCAGTCCGGGCTGGGCCTCAGGTCGGGCCTGACTGGGCTTTTTTGGTTTCTTGAGGCCTGGGTAGCTACTGGGTCCGAATTGGGCCCTGGCTGGGTCGGGCCGGTTCGGGTCGGTCCGGGTACATTTTTTTCCCTAATTACTTCCTCCCCCCACCCCACACCCCTCCAAAACACCCAACCCAACTCATATACCGTTTAAAGAATTTGAAAAACAAAACAAAAAAATTGACCCAAACGGACCCCAGCTCGACCGGTTCAAGTTTTTTAGACCTGAAGCCCGCCCATAAATAGTACTAGGTCGGGTAGCCCGAACCGGGCACGGACCCGGGTACTGAGCCGGGATGGGCCAAAACAGTACCGGTCCAGGCCAGTTAAGGGCCAGTTGACCCGGCCCGAGTCCATCCCTACTTAGACAAGGATCTGAATGGTCAAAGACGGAAGTAGATGGAAAAGGATAGAATCATTGACTTGAATCAAAGCAGAATGGAAAGGATTTAGAATACTCACATCTATAAAAACGATTGACAATTTTTAGCGTTGTTTAATACATACAAACAACTTATCAAATTTTATAGAAGATTCAGGTATTCAGCAACGCTCGAAATTAGTTGGACACTACTTAAAGTTAAAGTCAACCCCAACTTGTGAAATACTACGTAGAAGTTATAGAACAGTTGTGTTTACATGCTTGTTTTTTGTCAAAGAATACTCATTGTTTTGATTTTTTTAATAGTAGGTTTTATCATATTTGACACATTTTAAATTGATAAGTTAGCGATTAACTTTCTCTGAAAGAAGTTCTCAAATGTGTTTAATTGGCCTTTCAAAGAGGCTTTCTTTCTAAGCCATGGATTTGGGGATTTACATGCAAAATAAACCATAAACATAGATTCAATACTTGACAAGTTCTTGCAGAATAAATAATTAACAAGCTAAGTCTACTGAAGCAAAATATCCTTAGATGGATTAGTTTCTACTGTATATCATGCAGTGCTATTGACGTTCATCTTAGACATTTCTTCGAGCAAGTGTTTAGATTCTTCCGCATAATCAACTGGAGCAACACCTCTTGCTGTAATCCTTTGCCTTTTCTCATTGTTGTACTCCTGAACCGCCACACTGACTTGGAAGAGGTAAGAAACCCAAGTGGCTTCTTTCAGTTTCTCTAGATAAGCACTCTCTCCATCCTAAACACAGAAAAAAAAGTAAGAACAACACATTAGCTGTGCAAAATTCTATAAATCGCTTCTTAATGGGGCTGTTTTTCTTATGGGTAAGCATACATTCAATGCATGATGGTGCTTTACCTGAGATTTCAGCTTATTTAGCTCATCTGCAGTGGAGCCTAGTATTTTCTCAGCCTGGTCATTGAAAACGGACAGCCAAGCTTCACCACTTGCATCTGAAACCTTCATAACCATTATATATCTGGAAATTGTACAAGAGTTCAATTAACATTAATAGTTTCATAGCCTTTTCTTTATTCGAACAATAGATCAAGACTTGTATATTTCAAACCTCAGTCTGCACTCCTCATTCTTCTGGCAGCTTTCACACCAGTACCCATTACCAAGGCCTTCAGTTACTTTCTTGCTGCAAGTCATGCATGCACGATACCACATAGCCTGATCAGGTTTGATGAAACTGATGTTTGCCTTTATTCTGTAGAATACAGGCTGCAGACAGACAAATACCATAATTTAGAGGAAGCACTCAAGAAAGAATAAACATATTTAGTAACTCATATTGACATGGTGGAATATATGGATTTTAAGCAATATTGAGTATTTTTATACCTTTCCCTCACCGAGAGAGGGGTCACTGGTTATATGAAGCAAGGAAACTCTTTCAGATGATGACCAAGAACCAGTTTTGGAGGATGGACTCAAACCAGAACCAACTGAAGCCAATGGTGTTTCTTTACCTTCAGTATCAAACCTTTTCAGGAATTTAAAACATAAAATTAATGTGAATGACTAGATAATAAAAATGAAAATAAGGCCCATATTGAAGCAATTAACTGTACCAAGATCTCAAGTCTTTGGCTTTGGGTACATCTGGATTCACCAGCACTGTACTCTTGCTCAATGTTGATAAAGAAACGCCTAAAATAAGAATACACAAATAAAAAAATTAACATGTAATTCTCACATTCTGATTATCATTCATTAAAAATAAAATTGTTACCTTGGAAGTCACCAACTTTAAGGGATTTGATTGCAACTACTGGAGATTTATCAACCATATCAAGCAATTCTTGTCCAACATTTGTGGCAAGATCATTCCACAGCGATACAACAACAGTTTTCTTCCTGAACACTTTTAGGGTCAGCTGAGAGATAAGAGAATGGAAACAATGTGTAAAATACAATTTAAAATGAACTCATACGTCTCATCTGCAATTGTTATATCACGCTTTGGGATCATCTCATTGTTACTTTTTCTCCGAATACTCACAGTAGGAGAAACACTTTGAACCACACCAATAACATCTGCATGTCACAACACTTAAGTTAGCCAAACAACTAGAAAGAACAAAGATGGAAAAGAAAATTTAGAAGAAAGGTAGTCTTACCGACCAACTCCCGGCTATTTACAAATGGGCCAAGCTCATCAATGGGGACAAAGTTAAATTTAGTTTCAGGAACAAAAGCAGGTTCATTGCTAGCCTCTTCAACTATAGAATTTTCATTCAAGGTCATTTCATAATCATTTTGTACGGTCTTGAACTGCTTATTTGCCAGTTTAAGAGTACCCTTTGAAATGTAATACATCTTCCCCATTTCAAAATTGTCAAAGAACTTCTTTGCTGCTTCATTAAACATTGTTGCTTGTATTTGTGTGCCCTGGACATGACAAGAACATGATACATTTAAGTAAACAATGTGCCATATAAACATAGATCCCACCCAAGAGACAAGAGAAACAAAACAAAAAATACATAATAATGCACTCACATCCTGATCTGTTAATTCAACATTGAAGACACAGCCTTCTCCCCTTGCATTCTTGTAAAACCGCATATTTCCCTTGCTAGTAACACAAACTTTGATTGTCCAATTTCCTTGGTATGGATTCAGTGAAATAAGTGGATGAATTCTCCGGGTCATTGCCATGCGTGCTGGAGGTGCCATGCTGTCATCAAACAATACAAGATCAGCCATTAACCCTTACAAAATGAATATTCCATTTCTTTATAAAAGACACAAACTAATATCCTTCTTATAACATTGCACAATCTCAAGCAACTTTTCCAATGCTGAATACGGAGTATAAAAGAAGATAGAAGTACCAATTTCTAATAAGACTAGAGAAAGGGGAATGAGAAACTCACTTTCCAGTCTGTTCATGTACAATTTGTGCAGCTGATTTGGATATCATTTCTTGCTTGGGTTTCAAAGAAATGCAAGCTGAATCTTTCTCCACTGAACTTACCATGTCTATATCCTGTTTGGGCTTTAATACAATGCTTGCCCCTTCACTTTTCTGTTCATTTGTGGCCTCAACCTTGTATTCAGCTTCAAGGGAAGGGCACACAGCCTCGCACTTTGTTACAATCAGGTATCTAAAACGTCAAAATCAAATCAATTACCAAAGTTTAAGGATTTTCAAAGGAGAAACAAAGGAAACAGTAAAACCTAAAGGACTCCATTGATTCTCACTTTTCATTCTTCATGGGGATGTCATTGAGAGTATAATCAAGAATTCGAATCAGGCCCAAGTTTTGAATGGCCCCAGAGATGACATCAGACGATGTGTTAGCCTGCAAAATTGCCTTGAGCTTCAACCTCCCATCACTAGCCGTGAACCTTAAATAAAAAAGAAATGTAGCATAAATCAACTGCTTATAAACTCATTGGGTCCATTCAAATTGTTCTATTTTTCTGTTTTCAATTGACATTAAACTTTCAAAGACAAAATGGAATCACAAACACTGATATACAGAATAGCAGCTGCCAGGGATAAAGTAACATTTCATTTCACAAGTAGCACTCCATAACACGGACAAAATTGAGAAGCATAATACTTAAAACAGATACCAGCAAGAAAATCTCACTACAGGAACACAAAAAGCAGGCAAACTTTAGGATGGAAATGAAACTCACATGTATCGGTTGCCGGTGGGCTTCAGATCCACAACTTGGACTACAATTTCCGGCAGATCAGACCCAGATTCAGGGGACGGGTTAGCTAGAATAGTAGAGATAGCATCTTCGGTCACTGAATGACCCATCGCTAAAATGGTTTCCTCTGCTTAATTGCAACGGCGAAGAGAAGTGAAAGGTAAAAACTGGGAGCGGCGGTGAGAATGCAAAAATGGAGGATGAGAGAGGTATGCGGCTGTGAGGGTATTCTTGTAGTACTTTTTGGCGCGGGAATGAATTAATAGAGTTCCAAAAATTTACAGGGCAATTTAAGGCGGGGAATTGTTTGTACGTGGAAATATCGCGTTGGCGCCAAACTTTCTGGCCCTAATCTTTTGATTGTTTGCTTTTTTTGTTTCTTTGGATTCATTATTAGCATATTATTAGGTTAACTACGGAGCATTATATATTACTTCCTCGCTTCCGCTCTTTGTATTTTTTTGGTGAATTCAGCGAAATTTCTTTTTATTATATTCCCTCCGGTCCCAAATGAAATTCACACTTTCCTTTTTGGATAGGTCTTAAATAAAATTCACACTTCTTCTCTCTTCCTTATTTGGCAAATTATCTACATCAAAACAGTGTAAAACAGTGTCAAACAGTGTTACAACAGTGTACTCTACAGTAAAGTCAAATTTATTTCCTTATTTTGTGTGAAGTCAAAGTGTGAATTTCATTTGGGACCGGAGGGAGTATTTAGTTATGTATTTCAAACTCATTCATACAGTATTAGATAAATTTAATACTAATTTCATCTCACTCAACATTGTCAAGTTGATGTGAGTAGGGATGGACTAAACCGGGCCGGTCCGCTACTGTGCGGGCCCGGACCGGACCGGGAGCGGTTGGCCGGTTCCGGGCTTTTAGCCCGTTTGGGCGGGTCAGGCAGGTCGGGTTCCGGCCCAACTTTTGTTGAACCAGGCCCGAGCCCGGTTCAAATTTTTTTGGCCCAATTTTTTTCTTTTCCTAAGGTAGGGCTGGGTGTTTTGGGGAGGTTTGGGGGGTGGGTGAGGGGGGTCGGGGGATAACAAGAAAGGCAAAAAAAAATAAACATGGAACCGGGCCCGGCCCGGCCCGGACCCAGTATCAACCCGGGCCGGTTCCGGGCCCAAGTAATTGCAAAAAAAGCCTGTCTGGGGCCGGCCCGGAACCGGAACAAGACCGGCCCGGGTCCATCACTAGATGTGAGTGTGAAATTATAGTAATAAAAACTCTTTGATTGAGGTTTGTGTTGAACACAGAGAAATAAATACAAGTATAAATTCAATGCTTTAAAATGAAAGTGACAAAATTTATTGGAACAAATAAAAAAAGGGGAAAACTGTCAATTACACCCTCGTACTATGGGCGAATCCTCAATTGAGTCCTCCTACTTCGAAAACCTTCAATTGAATCCGCCAAGTCTCCAAAATCAGTCAATTAGGTCTACATTACCGGTTGGTTCCCGGTTTGCCGGTTGCTTGCCTTCAATTGATCTAGCTAGGTTTTTTTACTGTTTTTTGATTTTTTTTAATTTTTTTTCTTCTCTTTTCTTTTTTCTTTTTCTCTTCCTCTTCTCTTTTCTCTTTCTTTCGTTCTTCCTGGCCGATTCCTCTTCTGCTCTCCCAGTATCCTCCTCCCCCTTCTTCTCTTCTTCCTTTCTTGTCTCCACCAGAAATCCGGTTACTTTCTTCCATTTTTGTTGCCTCCGTCAATTCCACTGGAACGGATTCCGCTGCTCCGGCCTCTCTAGCCACCAACTCTGCCGCCCAGCCTCCATAGCCACGTCTCCAAAGTCCGGCCTCAACCGCCATACACACCACACCGCCTCCGGCCACCACCTGTGTGGCTTCCCCTTCGCCTACTCCATTGAAACAACCTCCAATCGCGTCGGCTTCCATAGCCACCACCTTCGCCGTCCTTACCACCGTACCACCGCTTCCGGCTTCCACCTCCGCTTCTTCCATTGAAACGACCTCCAAGGCTCCAATCGCACCGGCCTCCATAGCCAGTTAGCCACCACCACCACCACCTTCATGAATCAGCAGTTGCAGACGCACAGGGAGATGCGGATGCAGGCAGATGCAAAGGAAATACCAAAAGAAAAAGGAAAAGAAAAAATAGAAAAGAGTAAATAAAAAAATGCCAACTGCATGTGCCACGTAGGCGGTCAGTCCAATATATAACCGGTTGGTCAAAGTCCACGTCAGCGCCAGGAAGGCAAGCAACCGGCAAACCGGGAACCAACCGGTAATGTAGACCTAATTGATTGATTTTGGAGACTTGGCGGATTCAATTGAAGGTTTTTGAAGTAGGAGGACTCAATTGAGGATTCGCCCATAGTATGAGGGTGTAATTGACAGTTTAATGGCAAAAGTTGGAGTGTTAATATCCCCCCAATGCAATTAAGTTCTGATTTTAAAATACATTTTTGCCCCTTTGTAGTTACTTTTAAATTGTCAATTACTCCTTCATGCTTTTGAGAGTATACTTAATATATGGGGCGGATAAAGTGTATAATTAAAAATGAAATAATGGCACAAGTATTACCTATACACTTTTAATAGACTAAAATATGACTATTTTTACACTTTCCAAAAATATGACCTGACCCGTCCGTCTGTATACTTGGAATGGAATTCTATGTGCGCTCACAGTCTTTCTCCCCCAACTGTATCCAACCATTCTTTGTCTTCTCCATCTAGCATGTGAGGCACTCTCCACACCTCTGCGCGCTGTCGGCCACCGCCTTCATATCCGGCCATCGCACCGCCTCGGCAATCGGCCACCGCCTCCACAGTCGGCCATCACGTAGCCCACCGCCCCTCACTAGTGGAAAAACGTCAAATAGAGACGCTTCGTTTGAGGCGCTTTTCAGTACAAGCGCCTTTGTAAGACGGATATTTTATTTATTTTAATTTTTTATGACGTGCGGCGCTTATAGGGTAAAAACGCCTCCATTGTATTTCCGTTTTTTTTAAATGGTTGAGCGTGCGGCGCTTTTGTCACAGAAGCGCCTCCAATTGGTTGCGCGTTTTTTTTTTTTTTGAAATTCATTCGACCCGTGCGGCGCTTGGGCAAAGAATCGCCTTCCTTTTTTTTAAATTGGCCGATGCGTGCGGCGCTTTGGTCTAACAAGCGCCTCCCATAATTAACCCTAGGTATTGGACCGACACCAAGCCATCCCAGGCGCGCGCGGATTTGACGACCCCGTCTCCCTTCATCGTCGATAGCAGCCGCACCAACAATCAGAGATCTGCTACCGCCGCCGCTGTCCGTGCGCCTGCTGTTGCCGCCGACTTCCGTGCGTCTGCCGCCGCCGTACGCGTGCCGTCGTTGTCTTCTTCTCCAGCCCTGGTAGCTCGGCTTGTTGTTGACGGCTGTGGCTCGCCGTGTACTGCTCCGGCACGCCGTCGACCGCTCCGGCTCTCCGTGGACTACTCCGACCCACATCACATAGATAAAGGTGAGTTCATTTTTCAATTATGTTTTTGGTATATTTGGGTTGATTTCACTTTTATTTGATTTTAGTTTGAATGTTTTCAGATTAAAGTATATTTTCGATGATATCCATTGTTCTGATGTTTAGGTTTCCTTAGGTTTGATAGAAGTGAGTTTGTTTGTTCATTTTTTGGCAAGTATATATTGTTTTTTATTTTTATTCGATTTTACTTTGATTTTTTTGGATTGCTCCGACTTTTCAGTAATAAAATGGATATACCTGGCGTCTGGCTGTAACAATTTAGAGGCGGTTTGTGCCTGCTCCCGAATAAAATTTCAGCACAAGTAGTTCTATATTTTAATTAATTTTGAGTAATATAATTTTGGAATAGTTGTAATGAGCAGCAAAACACTTCCAAGAGGTTGTTTTATTATAGCATAACCCTCAATTGCAATCTTACATAAAAAGTGTGCTTAAAAAGAAAAAAAGTATGCAATAATTTATGATTATTTTTTTATTTTTAGATAAAGTTTAGTGTTGTTAATCATGGATCGTAGCTGGATGTATGGTTTGTGAAATACTTCTCAATTTTTCAATGGTGTTCATGAGTTTGTGAAAGTGGCTGTTGCGCATCAGAAGCAACAAGGACAAAAAGGAATTTTATGTCCTTGTTCAATGTGCCGTAACATTAAAAGAGAGAATGACGTGAACATAGTTCTTCAGCATTTATTTGAGAAGGGTTTTAGAGAAAACTATATGACGTGGACATTCCATGGTGAGAATCATGTGGATGTCGAAGACCTTTTTTTTGGAGCAACTTCTGGTCATCTAAAGCGTAAAGCTACTCATATTACTACTACTTCAAATGATATTGATGATGGTGTTACAGATGATGATGTCAATGAAGATAGAATTGATGAACTCTTGAATGATGTTCATGATAATTTTGATTATCAACCAAAATCTTATGAGAATTTGATTGAGGCCGCCAATATACCGCTATTCACGGGTTCTGAATTCTCCAAACTATCTGTTGTTCTCAAATTATTTCACTTGAAAGCTAAACATGGGTGGAGTAATGTTAGTTTCACTGAGTTGCTGATATTGCTTCAAGAAATGTTTCCAGAAGGAAATACACTTCCCGATACGAGCTATAAGGCTAGAAAGTTGTTGTGTCCAATAGGAACAGAATGGGAGAAGATTCATGCATGTCCAGCCGATTGCATAATGTACCGCAATGAATATGAAAACCTAAATGAATGTCCAAAGTGTCATGCTTCACGTTATAAGAAGAAGAAGGGTATTAATGTTGGGTTTGATGTTGAATATACCAAAACACCTGCCAAAAGTGTTGTGGTATCTTCCTATCATTCCTAGATTTAAAAGATTATTCATGAATGAGAAAGATGCAAAAAACTTAGTGTGGCATGCTCAAGGCAGGAAAAAAGATGAGTACTTGCGACATATATCTGATGCACCACAGTGGAGGCAAATTGATTTGAAATATCCTGATTTTGGCAAAGAAGACAGGAATTTGAAACTTGGATTATGCACTGATGGTATGAATCCATATGGCACATTGACTAGTCAACATAGTACTTGGCCAGTTTTATTGGTTATTTATAATTTGCTTTCATGGTTGTGCATGAAGAGGAAGCACATGATGTTGTCTCTGCTTATCTCGGGACCACAACAACCCGGTAATGATATTGATGTGTACCTCACACCATTAGTTGATGATCTTAAACGTATGTGGAATGAGGGTGTTACAGCATATGACATGCACACAAAAACAAATTTTAA